GAAATCCTATGGATGTACCGTTGCCGAAATTCCAGATACGCCAGTAAGCACTCGCTCCACATCCCTCGCATCTTAGTGGCGATCGTGGCGCAGAGAGATGTGCGCTGGTCTAGTGAGCTGGAGAACCGAGTTCAAATCCAGTTAGGACCAAGTTTTGTCAGATTTCGATCGCCACCTCTCGGAGATTGTAGATGGGGATGGCAACCCACCGAGAGTATATTGCTGCTTGTTTATGATTCCTAAGAATACTAAACCAAACATTTGCGGCACCGTCGGCTCTTTTACAGCATACCTTAGATGTTTTTAACTCCTTCCATCCTAGGCTGAAATTTACCATAGAAATCGGTGAAGACGACACGTTGAATTTTTTGGAGATCACAATGATATTGAACAACAATAGGCTAACTTTTGATTGGTTCCATAAACCGACATTTTCTGGCAGGTATTTAAACTTTTTGTCGCAGCATCCTGCATGCCAAAAAAGAGGTACGGCCATAGGCCTAATAGATAGAGCATTTTTGTTGTCGCATCCGTCCTTGCATGCTAAAAATCTTAGACTGGTCATTGAAATCTTACTCAATAATTGTTACCCATTGGAATTCATCTTTAGAATTTTGCGCGAACGTCTTAAGTTTCTGTTTAACAGAGACTCGAATACGAATGTAAGACAGAATGAAGAGGAGGTTACTCCTTTTTTCACTTTACCGTACATCCCGACGATTACTGAAAAGCTTAGGAACGCCATAAGGGAGTTGAATGTGAGACTGTCTTATAACAGCTTAAATAAGATGCGTACATTCATCAAGGCGCACAAGGATAGTCTCCCACGGTCGAATAAATGTAACGTGGTTTATAAGGTGAATTGTAATGATTGCGACGCTTCTTATGTGGGCCAAACGAGTAGGCAATTGCAAACAAAAATCAAGAAGCATCGTAATCATATTAATTGGAGTACTCCGAATCATTCTGTCATAACTGAACACAGATTAGAATGGAATCATGATTTCGATTGGAATAGCATTGAAATCTTAGATAATAAATCCTATTGTTATAAACGTTTGATTTCGGAGATGATATGCATAAAAAGGCAGGCGAATGGTTTGAGTTTACAGACCGATGCGGAGGGTTTACCGGACGCGTATTTAAATGTGATCGAGAGACTGTCTAAAATTTAGAACAACTTTATGCGAGAGTTTATCCCCTCCTCTTACTGGTTTATACACCAGTCTCTATTATGTTAACCTTCCCACTTATGCCTCACTCATTTGCGACGTTTCGAACCGTGAAGTTTGTTGTTACAATGCGATATTCCGGTCTGCAATTGCTCTGTAAGTAAATCTATTATTTGACTGAACCGCTGTTAGGTAAATGGTACTCTAATTTCGCTAGCGCCCCTAGCGGCTAAGAGTGGCACGCGCCGTCCCCATATAAACAATAAGATTTTTTAAATTGAATTTTACGTATACAACAGTCGCTACCCATGACGATCGTCCCTTGCGCGTCCCTAGCAGCCCCGAACAGAACCCTTCGTCGTGTATAAACACAGTCGCTATCCATGACGAATTCTTCGCCTTGGTAAACCACGCGCCGTTACTTTCGGACATAATGCAGTAACCGAAGCTAACACGGCATAATCACATAATTAAATTAATATTAATTTTGCCGTTCTAGCTTTGGTTAAAACTGCGTTATGTTTGAAAGTAAAGGTGTGTGGTTTGCCAAGACGAAGAATTGTAGGTAAATTCACTTAAAAAATATATATATATATATATATATATATATATATATATATAAAAAATATAGGCAATCAAGATCCGGTCCTGACCGATTACGGCGTTTTCCTTGTAATTTGATTGTTTTTTTTATTATAAAGAATCACGTCTTGTACGCCACATGCGCGAATTTTGGGACACTCTGTATATGTCATAGTAAAAGTATGAAATCAGTAGTTGTATACACTTAAGTTCACGTTACGTTACTTCGCGTCCGTCGCGTTCCGTTACGTTAAATTCATCGTAATCCCGGCATTACAATAAGCTTATATATTAACTTTACCAATAAAAAAACTAGAAAAATGATATCTTTACTAGCAAATACACTTGTTATTCTAATTTAGCAAAAATATATTTAAACAACGGTAAATGTTTAGTATAACGCTCTCCTCTCCGATTTTCTTAAAACTTTGTAAAATTGTTTATTTCTGTGTGTAAAAAACATTCTGAGAAGGAAAATCGTCGCTTAGGTCTCGTTTTTTTTTAATTTAATTTCAAAGTTTTGATGTCGGTAAGGTAGGAAAATGATAATTTACGTTTTTAAAGTACTGCGCAACTTCATTTGAAGGTCACGTAACAACTGTCTGCTAATTAAATACAAAATATCTGCTTAAAACATGTGTGTGCCCTACTGCTTTAACGAAAATCCGAGCGAAAATCATAACTTTTATAAAGCAGTGGATACACACGTGTGTGCCCTGTTTTAAAAATCACAACTTCTATAAAGCAAGGCATACATACGTGTGTGTGTGTGTGTGTGTGTGCCCTGCTTTAACGAAAATCACAACTTCTATAAAATAGGGCATACACACGTGTGTGTGCGTGCCCTGCTTTTACGAAAATCACAACTTCTATAAAGCAGGGCATACACACGTGTGTTTGCGCCCTGCTTTAACAAAAATCACAACTTCTATAAAGCAGGACATACACACGTGTGTGTGTGCCCTGCTTTAACGAAAATTACAACTTCTATAAAGCAGGGGATACACACGTGTGTTTGTGCCTTGCTTTAACGAAAATCACAACTTCTATAAACCAGGGCATACACACGTGTGTTTGTGTCCTGCTTTAACAAAAATCACAACTTCTATATAAAGCAGGACATACACACGTGTGTGTGTGCCCTGCTTTAACAAAAATCACACCTTTTATAAAGCAGGCCATACACACGTGTGTGTGTGCAGTGCTTTAACGAAAATCACAATTTATCAATTTATCAATTTATCAATTTTGGCCACGTACAGTATTTCACAATCATAAAATTTTAACCTAAATGGCACCGTTAATGAGTATGCGGACAACTTAATTTGTGAATATAGTAACAAATAAAAGTGCGCAGTATTTAAAAAACGTAAATTATCATTTTCCTACCTTACCGACATCAAAACTTTGAAATTAAATTTAAAAAAAAAAACGAGACCTGAGCGAGGATTTTCCTTCTCAGAATGTTTTTTACACACAGAAATAAACAATTTTACAAAGTTGTAAGAAAATCGGAGGGGAGAGCGTTATACTAAACATTTACCCAAACAACATATAATTCAAAGTGTAATTATAGTTTACTATGCTGAAATAAATAAAAGCCATATTTTAAATAACGTAAAAATATTTATTTTATAAACAATTATTTTTTGTGTTTAGTTTTATGATAAGTTATTATCTTATTAAGTTGTTGCATATAAAAAATAGTGAACTTTTCAATGAAATTTAAAAAACGATAGTAACTGCTTAAAATAAATTTTATTAATCAATATAAACGCTTGCAGATACACTTTTCCGAACATGATATAAGTGCATTTATATCCACGCATAGAAATTTGAATTTCTGGAATGCTTCAAAAGCGATTTTGACTGTAGTTTTATTTTTTAATATCTTCTCTACTAAAAAATAGTATCGATGTTTATATAAAGAAGTAATCAGTTGGAGAAAAGATGCGATGAATATGGATGAGGAGAGTCTTATATTCCCAGATAGCAAAGCGTGTCTCAACAAAATCGCGCAAACCTGTGATTGCTTATGATGCTGGCAACTTTCCATACATTTGCTTCAATTAATTTCGAGTAATTTAATATTTGAAGCAACACACAGGCAACATTGGATATATGTATTGCCAGCAATTTGTCGGAAAGAAAGCAGCATCAAAAATTTACTTCGCGTTGCTAACAATATGACAGCAACAGCATTGTGTGATCCTATGAATTATTACAGCAACATGACAGTAACAGCTCGAATTTTGAATCAGACATCAACTTGCTGACAAATGGGGATTCAGTTGCCACAATTCTGATAGCAACACATACTATGTTATCGGCAACATGCCAGCAACAATGCAGACACGTTGCTATCTGAGTTGCTACTGGTTCAATTTGATGACTGTTATTGTTGAGATATGTGGATGAGTATTGTCATAAAACAATATAATATAGCGTCTATTGATAGTCTATTAATTAATGTAACCTGTCTTATGCATAATATTTCATAGCGGATAACACCACTAGTAGATCACTAAACAGTCACTACTACATACTGCTTCATGACAATGTCTGACCATGCTCAAAAACAATAATCATGAAACTGAACCAATTACGATATAAGATTATTTTTCATTCATATTCATCAAATCTCATCAACTATCATTTTTTAAAACATCTATATTATATTACTTCTTAATGGAAAAAATCGCTAAAAAGTAGTTTAAACGTTTAAACAAGAATTACTTTTGTTCTTTTATTTCAATTAAGTAAAATATATCACGTTGCACGCAATTCAATCAATCCACTGTTAATGAGATTTACAATTCGCAAATTATATCAGTATGTTTTAACACACACTGAATCGTTTTAGTAAGTGTATATAATTACTAGTAATAGAAAACATGTTTATTTTTTTATTACCTTCTTTAACATTTTAATGTAAACATTTACTAGTAAGTGTATACAAGTACTGAATTTTACGTTTTTACTGTAATATATACAACGCAGTTTAATGTATATTTTGTCATTTATTTTTGTTTCATGTAAATAATGACATCTCGCCACAACGTAACTATTTACAGTAAGGTCATTTTATGTTATAGATCTGTTCATAAATTGTATGTGGCACAAAGAAAGAGAACTGTGTTTGTTAATATTTGTCTAGTACAAATTACAATATTCTCATTTCCCATTTCCTTATATAATTAAGTTTACAAATAGTTCAAAGTAATACAAATTAAAAAACTTGAAATTTTATCTATGTATATGTCTCTAACATTAAAAATATATTTGATAAAAAAATATTATGAACAAAATAAAAAACATAAATAGCACTCAGTCAGTATATGTATTGAATTCATGCAAATAGACTGGACGAATCAGTAAGTCATTCTTTGCATCTACACTGGGTGCTATTATTAATTCCATAATCATGAATAAATTTTTCATTGAAATTTTTCAGTACTTGATGAGTTTACACAACATCTGCTATAGTTAAAATATAAAGAAAATAGACTGTTTGTTTTTTGAAAATTATTAAACATGCATATAATATAATATTTCAATGTTTTAGAAGATATAAATATACAACTAATATATTTCCCTATTTACAATTTCATATTATAAATAAGATGGCTCTTATCTTATCTCTCGAAACAAACACTAAAAAACGTATAATACATTGAATGTTACACGAATATAATAACACATTAATGTTATTATATGTATGAAGAATGAAGGTAATTTAAAAATACCATTTGTGTATATGCAACGTGTGCAATACTGTGATGAATAGTGTATGTTACACTAGGAATGTAACGTAATGTATAAAAACATATTATATTACATGCTGGTTGTCGTCAAACAGTAATACATGAAATCAATTGCTGACAAAGTTGACTATATTGCAATTGGTCCCCACTAATCCTACGCATCTTTATTCCCTTCGCTTCTCTTTCCTCCGATTCGCATACCCTAAGTTCAATTTGTACGCCACCGGGATATTCTAAACTAAGTCCACTACCTTCCACTTCCTCTCTTGAAAATATAAAACCTTTCGGTGGCGCTCTCGCATCTATTATTTGTTTGACACGACCTAATATAGTTTCGGAATTTAATCTGCTTGACTCATCGGATAAAGGAACCTCGACTTCGGTAGGTATCGTATTGTGCGGTCTACCGATACCGCGTGTTATACTAGGTCTCGAAGGATCGCACGGCTCTGAAATAATAAAACTCGGAAGAGTGTTGTAATGAGGTAATGCATCTTCAAGTGAATCTGGCGATGGAGATGGAGATGGCGAGCAACTAATTAACGTCACTTGTCCTCCAAGAACATCTGTTACTGAAATTTGTGGTGGTACCTGTAAACAAATATCAAAATTAAAAATTAAACATTTCAAGTAAGATTATGCGGTACTACAGCATATTACAAATTTTTTATCCGTTACTTCCTTTTTTTCTAAGAAAAAGAAACAAGAAAATCATCGATACTTACTGGCTATTATTATATATTGATATAAAGAAATATTAAATATTAATGTTTTTCTTTAAGTTAAATTTAACTCAATAAAATTATAGGTAATTATGCATAAAAAGACCTCACCTGCCAATGACCTTGACCTTGACATATGTTGTCAAGGTCACCCTCCTGAGTGACCTTCAAAAGTTTTTAGCCGGCGGTCGTTATTCGTTAAAAAGTTATTAACAAAAAAAGTTTCGAAAATATAGCAGCTATTTTCAGTATTGAGAGACATAAACGACCAATATTACGACTTTTTTTTTTTTAAGTAGAGAATATCTCGTTTTGCGTGAAAGTTGCTGCTTTACCAAAACATAACATTTAAGGGTCAATTCAGACACAGCCGTGCCGTATCCGTACCATGCACGAAACAGAACATCAGACAAGGATACCTATTGTCTCCATCCTTGTCTAATTTTGTCTCCATCCTTGTCTGATGTTTCTGTTTCGTGCACGGTACGGATACGGCACGGCTGTGTTTGAATCGACCCTAAAGCAGTAAATTGTTGATAAATTGAAGTTTTTTTGTTAAAGCAGAGAATACTTTATTTCGCGAGAAGTCGTTACTTGACAACATATGTCAAGGTCAAGGTCATTGGCAGGTGAGGTCTTTTTATGCATAATTACCAAATTATATTAAGTTATATTAAAATGATTATAACAGTATTATATTAAAACACAATATTTAAATAAAATTTTGAACTTCTACAAAAGTAAGACATTATTTTGTTCTTTTTATTAATTCTATAAGAAATCAACAATTTTATATAACATATGATTATAATATACAATAACGAGATTTAATTCGGTTTCTTCTCATTATCAATCCAATATATTATATTTGGCGATTAAATAAGTATGTCAATAATGATCACAGTTAAGGGACCGAATTAAATCTCATCACTGTACATTTACTGTTAAAAAAGAAATTTTCTAAAAAAAATAGAATAATAAAAAATCTGCCTAAGCAAATAATGAAATAAATATTGATCTTAAGTAATTTTAATTTTTATATTTTATTTCTCACAAAATTTACTTGAATATATTAGATTAACATATTTGTAAAGAAGTTATAAAAAAAATAAAAAATATTAAGAATTGTATAAAATTTGTAACATCCCAGATAGCACAGCTGATCTTTATAAATTCAAAAAGATCTGAATCTGATCTTTATGAATTCATAAAGATCAACTGTGCTATCTGGGATAAGCTTATTTACAAATAATGCTAGCAAGTGCATTTTTATAAATTTTTTCATAAATTAATTTCTGAAAAAACCTAATTAGCAATAAAGACTTCAAGGGAATCTTATAGCGAAAGCCGAACTCCGACGATGTTGATAATGTCAACATTTCTAATCCTTTTTCTATTTTCTATGTTATCTATATCCTTGTCTAATGAGATATTTATACATTTGTCCTTGTCCGATTGCTGCGCCATCTCTTGCTACACGCACAGTATAACCAGTATGTTCACTCAATCCTTTCTTGTGGTTTACGCCGATCCGTACTGCGCATCGCCATTTTTGATGGTGCCACCAATCAGAGGATTTTTGTATATGTGGTAGTGCAAAGTCGGTGTGACGCCACAGCGGTCAAATTTTCGGTGGTATCGCAAAAATTAAAAATTCGTTAATCAATGTGTCGCCAAAATGAATAAAAACAGAAGTTAAAAAATTTGCAGCGTTCGAGATTGTCAAAATACGAGCAAGAACTCAAATTTCTATTTCTTTACTTTCCCTAAAGATGACGAAAAATTTGTACATGTCAAGACTTTGTACACACATGTTACAGGGCAATTTTTTCCTTTAAATCATGAATAATATAAATTGTTATACAAAAGTTTAATAATTTTAGGTTAAAACAGTAGGCAATTGCGTGTCGTCGAGAGGATCTTAAAAAAAACACACACCAGAACATGTGTATTCCAGCAATAAAATTTGCAGCCACCACTTTGAGAACCGAATGTATGCAAATAATTTAAAAAACCGTTTGCTTCCTTTGGCTCAACCAACTCTCAATTTGGATGAAAACTTAGAAAATAATCGGAATAACGTAAGTAAAGAAATGGTCAATTAAAGAGTTAATAAATATGCTACAGCTGATGAAGTTAATTCATTGTTCTTCCGCTCTGGAATTGACCATGAATGGTGTTTGTCAAATAATGGAAAGAAAAATGAATTAAATTTATCATTCATTTTTAGTTTGAAGACTGTCACTGCCATTATCTTTGTAACAATTCTGCATGTAAACAGCGGTTTGATCCTGATAGACGTGATCTTCTTTATGAAATCTGATTTCAGAATTGTGCAAATGTAAAAACTAACACTTCATCTGGCATTTGACAAACCACTCATTCGGTGGAAGAGGAAGAAAGGTTGCAGCTTTCTGCAGAGCATGATGTACAAGCGGAATACAATGTCGACTTGGAACCAGTTAACATCATCGCCAATTATCTTCAGCCTTATATCATCGTTCTTTCAGCAAACAGCAGTATGGCAGATCCTAACATTGCAGTTACCGCAGGGTCCAGTGGTGTTAGGGACCACAAAGGAGTCCAACCGCTACTGAATCAAAGTATTCATAAAGTTACTCAAACCACGAACGATTTGTCTGCTCATACTCCGAGAAAATTAAAGGCACAAGCAGAAATTAGAATGCTAAAAAAAGAAAATAGAATAATAACAAAAAAGAGAGCTGCTTTGCATAAAATAATAAAAAAATGGCACATGTAACCAAAGATCAATTTTTGGAGGCCTGTGAAAAATTTTTGCCACCGCAAATAGCAATGTTCGTAAGAGAACAAGTATTATCTGACAAGAAACAAGCCCGAAGTCGGAGGTATTCCCTACAATTTAAACGATTGTGCATGAATTTGTATTTTAAAGGGCCAAGAGCGTACAGGTCTTTGTCATCGATATTTTATTTGCCAAGTAGAACAACTCAATAGAATGACAGTTAATATTTCTATTACGAACGGCATAAATCAAAACGTGTTCAATTTACTGACCATTGCAACTATGCAAGAGTCTGAAAAAATTTACGTAATATGCTTTGATGAAATGTCATTAAAATGTCATTTATATTATATTACAAAGACTGATGAATTTGTCGGTTTTCATGATAGTGGCAATGAAAAGCAATTTCAACCAGCAAAATTTTCATGCGTCTTTATTGCAAGAAGTATTTTTGGTGATTAGAAACAACCTACGAACTTTCGAATACAGCTTGTTCAACTGCAGTTCTCAAACAATTACTCGCTCAATGTATTTTTCAATTGCAAAATATTGGTTTAACAGTTGCTGCCGTAGTGTGTGATATATGGGTCCTAAAAATAAGCAGCTCGCAAATGAATTAAGAATTACGCTTGATATCCCATATTTTACGCTAAACGACCGCAAGATATTTTTCCTATTCGATATGTGCCGCCTTTGATGAAGGCAACGCAAAATATGTTTTTAAAATATACTTTCATGTTTGGCCAATTTTTTGCTAGATAGAGTACGTAAGTCAATTTTATGAGCTCGATAAAGTAATGCGGTTCAAGTTGGCACCGAAATTAACTAACTTTCATGTAAATCCAGGTCCATTCCAAAAAATGAAAACTCGATTAGCTACTCAGCTTCTTAGTCAATCTATAGTGGCAGGTATAAGTACAAATATGCATTTTGAGAAAATATCACCTGAGGCAATTGGAACGGTAACTTTCATAGACAAGATGGATAAACTTTTTGACGTATTAAATTCTACCACGAAATATAAGGGAGAAAAATTGCACGCTCACACGTTTTCAAAAAAGAATGTTTAGAGTTTTTTGATTCATTAATAATTATTAATCACGATGGTTAAAACATGACAAATCAAATGAAGTTTAACCCTAGCTGGAAAGTTATTATTTCAGGCGTGCTGCAATTATGGGAATGCCTCAAAGAAAAAGGATTTGATTCTGTGCAAACAAGGAGATTAAATCAAGATCCTATAGAAAACTTTTGGAAAAATTCGTTTAGAAGGAAACTGTTCGAACCCTCCTGCCGTGGCGTTCATTCAAGCATTCAAAAAATTACTGTTTCACAATTTCTTTAATACGGGGAACGAAAACTGCGAGAATGATTTCAACAATATCTTGTTAGACCTAAACAGATGGAATCAAGATGAAATCAAAGAAATTGAAAAAAAAGTAAAAACAGACTTTTTAATTAATTTATGCCGGATGATGTTGATTATCAAAAGTTCGATTTAGTTGAAAAAAAAATTTAATTCGTTATATATGCGGTTTTTTGATTCGTAAATGTTTAAAGAAACATTCATGCACAATTTGCGAAGGATACAGTATCGATCACGTAGAATTTGAATTCGACAATTTTTTTTTTTTTTTTTTAGGCATACCGAAACCAAAATTCAAATTTCAGGAATTTAAAATTGCCACATGATAATTTTATTTTTTACGTGTGCTCGTTGGAAGCGATTTTGAATGAGCACTTTCAAAATATTGTTTTACAAAAAAATGTTATACAAAAATTATTAACAGAGGCTGAACTAACAACATTTAAGCACCCATGCAGCAGTTTCCCACATTTATACTTAAAAAAATTATTTTTTAGAATGCGGTTATATTACACGTTAAAATTTATAAATCATAATTTTCGATCATCCAATAACTCAAATAAAATGATTATTTGGAGACACGAATGAATACCGCCGTATATGTAAATACATAAAATGTATACATGTAAATGTATTTAACAAATACCGCTGCATAGACAATAAATATAAGTTTAAATTAAAAAATTATATTGCTTTGCATTATTAATTTTAATTAAACTTTACCACATATAAAATCTTTAACGACAAATAATAATCGGACTATTTTAAATTTTTATAATTTCCACTTTAATCTCATAATTTATAATAGTTATTTCAAATATAATTAGCATTCGAGCAATTCATCGAAACATTGCTATTCCAGCAATTTCATTAATCACTTTTATTTCTATAATTTTTTGTGTATTTCTACCTAGACCATTCCTAATAAGAGTGAATAATGTACACAGTTCTTTTGCACATTTAACAAATAACACTACTCAAGTGTGACACGCTGATTGTTTTGAAACTGTGTACACATGTAGAACTTCGAAAAATATTTGTGTCGTATTTTTTTATTTTTGGTCATAAAGCGTTTTAAGAGTATATATATATATAATAGGGACTATATATATATATATGTATATGTTCGAGAGCGCGCGGTAGCGCGAGATAGCGCGAGGTGAAAGACGACCACAAGTAAAGAGACAGCAAGTACAAATGAAATAAATTATATAATGTTCCCAAAGTTCAAGTATGTACAAGTTATTTACAAAGTTTTTAATAATTGCAGTGAAGGAAAAAACCGTGAGCGCGCACAATGGTTAGCACGGCAAGAGCGGCGAGCGGTTACGCGAATGCGAAAAAGCGGTTGAAGCAAAGTACAAGCGGTCGTACACGATATACTTTAGCGGTTGATCTACGAGCGAGAATCGAGGCGGCGGTCGTTTTATCACCTCCGAGGCGAAACTCCCTCCAGGCAAATTTCTACGAATTTCGGGAGGGTGATTGGCCGTCGGAGCCCTACGTCATCGTGCTGACGTCACTGGTTGCACGTGATGATCCGCCGATATCGATACTTGTTTTTCACGCGATGTTTATAGCATGGATCTTTCCTTTGTCTTAGCTCGTTTACTTGACTTTGTTTTCGCCGAGTGAATGTCGGCGAACTTTCCAAAATGCGAATGCTAGAAAGATCCATGCTATGTTGAACATCAACGCGACGAATTTGATGCGAGACATTATGCGAACAATTTTCATGCAATCTAACGTGGTTTCACGATGCGACTGATGCAAGATGATCTATCTGAGTCACGTCTGTTTCGCGAGTCGTTACGATCTCAAACAATATATATATATATATATATATATATATATATATATATATATATATATATATACCCTCAAATATATATATATATATACCCTCAAATATATATATATATATATATATATATACCCTCAAAATATTAACCTTCTCAACTCTATGTACGTTATTCCGAATAGTTTTTGCACTAAAATACTATCTCTAGGAGTTTCAGGGTTTTCTGATCTATATTTTTACAAAAAACTGACGTACATGGCCTAAAGGATTGTTATACAGAAAATTGAGAAGGTTAATATTTCGAGGGTAGTTTCTACTCTCTTAAAACGCTTTATAAGCAAAAATAAAATAACACGACACAAATATTTTTCGAAGTTCTACATGTGTGCACAGTTTCAAAAAAATCGGCGTATGACATTTGGGTAGTGTTACTTGTAAGTATAACCCGTTTTTAACCGTTGATACGTCAATGGTCCACCGAAAAACATGGCGGAAAATCGGAAACCAATAGATCAAAGGTGCCGACAGAGAGTGAACATACTGGTTATACTGTGCTACACCCAATATTGCTTATTCTATCAACCTGCATGTGCTTTTGCATAAAAGTTAAAAGCATGCAACTTTTTTTTTTAAATTTCAATTTTTTGCGTTTTTGATATAAAATCGACTATAGCGCTCTTCATTTTTGTGCGTACTTTAATTCCGTAAAAGAGTTTTGCAATTCCGTAAAGCCAATTAAAAGTTGTATGTATTTAACCAAATGTCGGTAACGACTGCCACTATAGGATCCACTTAATCAACCCTATATACTGGCTATCATTATAATTGTCATGACAATACGGCCATTGATTTTGGTCAGAATCATCAAAATGCTTTTTTCGACCATGGATTTTGGTCCTTCTAACGATTAGCTTATTTACTTGTTTGATTATTTGATTATACTCTGTTCGGTAAATGTTTACAATTAGGGCCTGACCTCCGATGACCTTGACCTTGACATATGTTGTCAAGGTCACCCTCCTGAGTGACCTTCAGAAGGTTTTAGTCGAGGGTCGCTTCTTATTAAAAAGTTATAAACAAAAAAGTTTCGAAAATATAGCAGTTATTTTAAGTACTGAGAGGCATAAACGACTAATATTACGTTTTTCTTTAAAGCAGAGAATACTTTATTTCGCGAGAAAGTCGCTGCTTTATCAAAACACAACATTTAAAGCAGTAAATTGTTGATAAATTGAAGTCTTTTTGTTAAAGCAGAGAATACTTACATGGGTTAGATGACGCGCTTTAAACAGTTGAACACTCAAGTGTAACCGTGTAATACATAATGGAACTTTAAACATTTGAAAACTATTTTAAAGCGCGTCATCTAACCAATGTTGCGCGGAGGTTGTGCGCCTTGACTTTTATGTAAGACTCCGTTCGAACGCGAATCAATCGCAAACAGACTTGTACACGGGTGTCGCGCGCGCGCGCGACACCCGTGACCTTGACAACATATGTCAAGGTCAAGGTCATCGGAGGTCAGGCTCTAATTGTAAACATTTACCCTCTATTCTATTCTGTTAAACTAAATTATAAAAAAAACTACAAAATTTAATAAAAGCATTTTTTCATATATTTTATATATAATTTTTGAAGCGTGTGAGAATTTATGTTTTATTATTCTGCAATCCGCATCGAGACGGGTAGCTGCATTGTGCGGGTACCAGCATAGTACGAGTACCCGAATTATCCCGGTACTCGCGGAACCTATTCCATATACCGTATACAACAGGTATCGGGTGAGCAGGCAGGTATTCGGATACCCGGAAATCCGGTTCTTTTTTGGAGTTTCTTTTTCTAGTTTAAAACTTTTCTTTGTTAAATGTACTGTTTTAAAAATATTTAAGATAGATGTCTAAAATAAATTACTCCGCATATTTATTAAAGTATTACATACCCTTGATATTTCTACAGGATGTTCTTCTTGTATCATATCCAATGCTGGACTATTGCTGGGGGAGTAACTTACAGGAGTAGTGGCAGGTGATCTATGATGTCTAAGTGGACTTAAATCTAAAGGTGTGGCTGGTGGCTGCGCCGGTGTACCGTGTACGATACTACCTTGTACTGATGTCGTAGTTAAACCACTAAGACCTATAAGTAATAAACAGAAAAAATCATGACATATTAACTTCAAATTTCTTTTCTCAAAGAATGTTTCTTGAATTTGACATATAGAATATACAGAGCGTATAAAAAGTGTCGAAACCCCTAATTTTACGAAACCTACGCATTGTCGAAAAAAATATTATATATAAAAGTTGTGGGGTTTTAAGTGACACGTTACATGGAAATATTAATATAAAGTTGAATAGTGTTGACAAAGTCACGTAAAGATTACCTTAGAATTTTTTTTTATTACAAATTTAAAATTATTTGTTATTATATATTCATGTAGTTTACCTTAAAAGTTTTTCAAAATACTATAGTAAAGTATTTTTTCATTAAGTACTTTTCGAGATATAGAACTTGAAAGTTACAGTACTGCCGAAATTAGCATTACGCAAAGTGTATCGCGTGGAGGTTGGATTTACATATGGTGTTATACGGAATTTATATATTTAATTATTTAAATTGCATTTCTTATTTATATAAATATGTATTTTTTATTTATATAAATTATTTAATAAAAATATATTAATTTATATTAATAAAATAGTTTAAAATTACTTTCTTCAAAAACAACAAAAAATAAAAAAAGAATAAAAACGTCATTTTTAAAAATCCATACAGCCAAACTTGCAGTTGCATTGCATTAATGTTGCAATATTGCAAGTTGCAATGTAA